CAATAAAAAGTGTATTATTTTGTAATTCTTTTATTTATATTACCTGAAATAACTTGCATCCAACCGCATAGATAAAAAACTGTCGTGCTCTGGCAAAAAAAGAAAAGTAACATAGCACAAATCGAGAACAATGCTACGATAACTGCTATTCCAACTAATATAGTGCTAGCTTTAAACGGGACGTTCGCTATGGTAGAAAGATCGTCTAATCTTCCAATGCATTCCTCTCCTAATTCACCTAGAAAAATAATCATTTGTAAAGAAAATTAAAAAATAAGAATATATTTTTAACATTATTTATTTTATTTTATTTATTTAACGAATAAACGTTACTTTCTTTTTTTACATCGTGAGTCTAAAAATTCATCAATGACGTTAGTCCCCCCCCCCTTCCCACAGAAAATAATTTTCTCACCCCCGACCCACCCACACATGCATCTACGATGCAGTTGAGTCAATGATTTGAAAAATCGCGTTGATTCATTTTCCCGTAGATGCAAATATTTTTTTGTTCTCAAAATTCTAGAAAATATCACTCGTTTTATGAATTCAATGATTTTTGTTATAACGTTTCTAAAACTGAAATATTCATAAATTACATTGTCAATGGATTTGTGTGTGTGTCTATTTGATTAAAAAATAATTTTCTTTCTCCCCCCCACCCACATGCATCTACGATGCAGTTGAGTCAATGACTCGAAGAATCGTTGATTAATTTTTGCATAGATAGAAACATTATTCGAAATTTAATAAAAATCCTTTATTTAATAAATTCATCGTTATTTATTGAAATGTTCATATCTAGAAGAATTAACAATTGCATTACCAATGCATTTGCGTATTAATTACAAATAAAAAAAAAAAAAAAATTAATATTCCACGTATCTATAATATAGTCGAGTCAATGACGTTTGGAGAACCATCGATTAATTTTTTTTCATATTAATACAAACTATATATAATTATAAAAAAAAAATTATTTATATAAAATAAATTTAAATATTTATTAATCCTTACCGTTTCCATAGCTACATCTCGTCCAAAGACCAAATCTTCCAGGATTTTCGTGTTCTAAATCACCGAGCCATTCCGGTGTTACAAATGCAACAACACCGATTATGGCGTAGCATATGGTGAAGATACCCCATAATACGCCAATCGCTTTAGAATTACGTATGTAATTCGTAGCATACATATGAGAAGACTCGACGTACTCTATTTTGGAGCCCATTTCGATGATTCGTGGGTTTCTTCGAAAACATACGTCAAAATCTATTTCAATTCATCATATATATGTACGTATAGATATATATATATATATACATATATATATATATAAATAAATATATATATATATGTTATCACTTCTTTCTTGATAAACGTCACTGAAGAAAACTCAAATTATTTTTGTTGTTGTGACCATTTGAAGGAATCCGGTGAGTTCAACGACGATTGTTGCACAAGAAACTTGTTTTTTTTTTTTTTTTTATATATATAAATGTCCTTTTTATTTTTGAATCACAGAGAAAAAAAAAATATAAGTAAACTTCACAACTTCAAATTACAAGGATCACAGTATTCTACTTTCTTGCATAGTTCTCTTCTTACACTCTCTCTCATAAAAGCCGCACCTCCTACACTCCTCCTCACTCAACACAATAATCCTCCTCTTTCTCAACGACGACGACGACGACTAACTGAAAGTCTAGCAGGAACGTAAGAAGAAAGACACTCTCCTTGTATCTTAAAATTTAAGATGGCGACTGGTTACTTGACGACTTCGTTGCTACTAAAGTTGTTGCATCACCAATAGCTCTCTTAGCTGTGCTTAAACAAAGAAGATGAAGAAAATATACTCGAATTCGTTCCGTTAATAGAAACGAACACGCTTTTTAAAAGTAAATATCTCTTTGTCAAAAAAGTTTCCCCCGCAGAGGGGAAAGGAAAAAGTACACGTGGGCGAAAATACGCAATGAATATTTTTATCCTTTGACTTGTTTTCAATATGACTCTACGTATTATTATTATTATTATTATTATTAGTCGTTGAGTCATATATTCTTAGATTTTCTCTTCGAGACATTTTTTTCTTAACTTTCTTTTCAAAATCTTATCCCAAAGATATACGGGATTCCTTTATTTTATTTTCACGCGAATTTTTTACGAATTAATCGGATTTCTTAATCTCTCTATAATCATTTGTATACATTGTTTTAAATATGTATCTACGTAAAAATGATTCGTCAATGATTTTACGAGTCATTGGACTCGATCTCCTTTTCATCGATTAATCGAAGAATAAACCATTGATTAATTATCGCATAGACTAATAGGTTAATTTCATTGACGAAATGTTTGCTAGACAAACGAAGGTAACGCCGCCAGTGGCGAATAGCTCAATTATCAAATATGGCGAACCGCACGGTAAAAGACGCGAAATCAATTCGCGGCACTAATCCGCAATATTTAGTTGAAAAAATAATAAGATCTCGAGTTTACGATTCGAAATATTGGAAGGAAGAATGTTTCGCTTTAACTGCAGAATTACTTGTCGACAAAGCTATGGAATTAAAGTGAGTAAAACAACTTAACCTCTCATTCCTCCCCCCCCCAACTTTCAAATATCTATATGTACATTTTAATTGATTAATTGATAATTCGTATTTTTCTTTTTTGTTATTTAGATTCATAGGCGGAGTTTACGGTGGAAACGTCAAACCAACGCCATTTCTATGTTTAATATTAAAAATGTTGCAAATACAGCCAGAAAAAGATATCATAGTGGAATTTATAAAGAACGAGGAATTTAAATATGTTAGAGCATTAGGTGCACTTTACATGCGACTGACAGGTTCGTCATTAGATTGTTACAAATATTTGGAACCTTTGTTCAACGATAATAGAAAATTAAGGAAACAAAATAAGCAAGGTTTTTATGAGCTGATTCACATGGACGAATTCATTGACGAGCTTCTACGTGAAGAGAGATCGTGCGATGTTATTTTGCCAAGGATTCAAAAGCGACATGTTTTGGAAGAAAATAATGAATTAGGTATGTTTATTATATCCATAGTCATAAAGTATTACAGATATTTGATCATTGTACATTTCATTTCGCAGAAGCAAAAGTATCCGCTTTGGAAGATGACATGGATGAAGGATTAGAGACATCGGAGGATGAAGACATACCTCCTGTCAAAGAAGAAAATCGCAAGAGAACGGAAGATCATGAGAGAGATCGAGAGCGTCACAGAGACAGAGACAAGAGGCATTCTCGTTCTGACAAAAAATCTGATAGAGAAAAGCAAAGATCACGGAGCAGAGATAGGGACAGAGATAGGAGAGAACGTAAACGAAGTAAATCACCAAAGACTCATTCCTCTTCGCACAAAGATAAAGACAGGGACAAGGATAGACATAGGCGAGACGACAGAGATAGGGATAGAGATAGGGAAAGAGAAAGGGAAAGGGAAAGGGATAGAAGAAGAGACCGTGATAGAACTAGGCATTGAAATTATGTGTGTGTGTGAAAGACTGCGTGTGAAAGAATTTACATTAATATTATTTTTAAGATACGTATAAATAAAATCAATCATCTTTTTACAGCCGTTATTATATTTTTACTATATTCTTAATTTTGCCTGATATAACAATAATTAAAAACATCAATTTTTAATGATATTAAAGTTTTTTCATAGAAATGCTACACGGTAGCTTAATTTTACATCGCATATTTCATCCAGATAAAATGATCACCCTTTCCAAGTATACGGTGTAACTTCTTTGTATAATAATTATGTACAAATCATATTCGAGAAGAAAGAAAGAAAAAAAAAATAAGAGAAAAGAATTTTCATATTGCATTTTTAAAACACAGACGTATTCGTATTTGTAAAGTATCAACACGACACCACCACTTCGTTAACGTTCGTATAAAAATGTCAATACGAGTTCCATATCGAAAATGCAATGTTGCATTTTTTTCTTTTTTTCTTTCTGTTTCTTTTTTTTTCTTCTTTTTTCTTTTACAAGTACATTTTGACATATACATGTATATACACATGGATATTAAAATAATTGCTTAACCTAATTAGAAATACAATCTCTGTTATAATTATTCATCATCGAATATATATATACATTTTTTTGCATAGAAATTCATATATTTCTCAATAGTCATAGTTCGAATTTTATATTATAACAATTAAAATATATATCACGACATATGTATATATGTATAAATGTATATGTATATGTATATGTATATAATATATATATATATACACACATACTTAAAGACAATTGTAAATAATACAACTTCTTCGACAAAGTATCAGCGCATCTCCAGGTACTTTTAACAAAACGTGGTTTTGGTGGTGAGCTCAGTTTTAAAAGCACGACCAAAACTACTGCTTTAAAATTGCAGATTGTCGTTATATTATATACTTTAGAGGAATCATAATATTTTTGTTCTTTTCATTTTTTAATTAAATTAATAAAAATTTTGTTCTAAATTTGATGATAAAATACGTTTAATTAGAATTACGATCACGAAAAATTATATACGCTGAATAAAAATGACGTAATTTCGATTAAATTTAGACTAGGATTTCATGCTAATGTTATAAGTTCATTAGAAAGTAGGTGAATTTAATATAAATAATCTTTCTTCTTCTTTTTTAATCCATTTCAATAGTTTACTCACTGCATCGATTGCGTCGGGCTTTGTAACCAGAGGCTCAAACGTTACGTAAATTTCGAAACCCGATGTTACCTGTGAATTTAGTTTCATTTTGATTAATTAATATTTATAAATTCTTCTTCTATATGTAATTTTAATACTACTTACCCAAGCTAACATTGTTTCTTTATCTAATTGTTGAAAGATTAATTTAAGTGGTCGACTAGGAGAATGTAATCTGTGATGCAAACATTGATACTGTCCAAGTAATCTAAAATATCAATTATATATCAATTTTAATAAAAATTCTATTAATTCTGTATGTTTAGGTAACATGTTAAGCTTTAGTTATTGAGCTTTCCATTTAAGTCAAAATGATCTGTCAGCCTGAACGGAAAGTCAAAAGCTGATCCGTAGGGATTATTGGTTTGATATTTAACGTATTAACAGCTTTGATTTATTTTACCGTTCTATTTCTTCATCAGTGGTATAAGGAGGTTGAAGACCAGGACTCCAAAATTGTGCCGTGCTTTTACATTTGTATAGAACATGTCGCATTTCAGGTAGGCCAATATCCGCAGTCGTAATAGGTACTTTATTCATAGATTCATTTATCGCTTCCAAACAATTTGTTCTTCTCAGCTTCTCCACTATTTTCTAATGAAAATTTTTTATTATAAAAATATATATATATATAATTATTACTTTCAAACAGAATTATAATATTAAAACACTCCATTCTTACTTGTTTAGCTTCCGAAAGTACAAAGAATACGTGTCTATCGACAGTAAGTAATAACAGACATGCTTGACAATCTTCAGCCAGATACGAAACATGACCGTGCATATAACCATTGGCATCAAATTTTGGCAAACATATAGGTGTCCATATTTCAAAAGTCTTAAGGGATTCCGAACTATCGACCAAGTTTTGTATTAAATGCAAATCCACCGGATGTAAAAAGAACTTATTCATTCTGACTAATGTAACCAATTGATTTTTAGCCAAAAGTATCGCAAAGACCAAATTCTGAAAAATGTAATTTATAGTTAGATCATATATTTAAGTTATTAAAACAATATATATTTAATCGTTTGAGTCTCAAGCAGCATTTTTTAGATTTCTTATAGAAGAGTGTTATGATATTGATGAACGTGATGTATAATTAATACATATTCATGCAGCTTGCTATTTGTCGAGACAATATTTTTAAAGATTGCTTAAAACACACACAGTTCTAATGGTTAAAATAATTTATATAAAATAATAATAATTGTACCTTTATTTTTCCACAAGTTTGTATAATAGTTTGTGTTATAGAAGCCCTCATCGAGGGAAGTAAAGGCAAACATTTAATAGCTCCAAGAAAAAAAGCAGGTTCTCTATCCATAAAATTTAATAAATGATCTATCAGTCTTTCGCTGCCGCTCAACAACCTTCGCAAATCAAAGTTCCTTCGAAGATCGTATACTCGTGTTAATTGAGATTGAGTTAAAACAGAAACTATCTGATTATATACATATCTAGAAAAATACAAAATAAACAAGAAAATAAGATTGTATATAACAAAAGTATGTAGTAACTAACAAGGACAACATTAGATCCATATACCTCAGATATTTTTAAAACTTTATACAGTTGTAGGGGTTTATTAAGACAATACACAGTAACTTAGGAATAAGTGCAAATATTCAATCGTTTCCAAGATATCGAAGAAAGAAGTTTTCCTAACATTCTTATATACCAGTATTGTTCTTTATAATTTAAATTTTATTTCTATAATTCTCTTATTTTCACTTTTGTACACTATGTTTTATTCATCTTATTCTTATTTCTAGAATAAAAAATACAGAAAAATAAGATTTAAATTAAAGAAAAAACAAACTGGCATATAAGAATGTGTTGATAAGGCTTCATCTTTGATATTTTGAAAAAGGTTGCGTTTTGGGCTTTACTCCTGGGGTACAATATATTATTTTAAACGAACCCCTTACAACTGTATAAAATGTTCAAATTATCTGAGACTTCCCGTTCTGATATTGCCCTGATAAAACAAATAAAATGACATACGTCAGTTGCAAAGTAAGTTGAGGCACGCTCTCCAATGTTTTGGAAACAGCGACTAATATTAATGGTCCTTTAACAAAGAAGACAAAATTAGTGTCTCCTGCATGTACAGATCTAATCATATCGCTGCCAGCTTGAACGAAGGATACTAAAGCTTGCATAACTCCCATTAGAGTAACTAATTTATCCTCCGAACTGTATCGAGAATATATTGGCTTTCCTGCTTGACTCAATATAAATACATGCTTCCTTTGGGCTAACCAGATTTTACAACGCAATGGATCCGCCTCTAAACTACTTTGACCTAAACGATGAGCGATGTCATCCTGAGGGAATGCGTATTATTATTAAAAATTAATAAAGAAAGAAAGTAGGAAAATATAATATTTAAATCTTAATTAATTGTGCTATACAACTGACCACATCAGATTCATCTAAAGATTCATCTTTTTTTAACTCGTGAGGACTCTTATCTGTTGGTGTTATTGGAATGTCTTGTACATCATCCTGAATTTCGGATATAGTACTCATCGTACTTTCCTTCATTTGTCTGTCGTCAATACTGCTACTCATTTCTTGCTCGTATTCCTCAAAGCTATCTGTTGTAACGAGCATTGTTTCAGCAGACGCACCCGGTTCTATGCCAGGTTCTGCTATACCATCGTCGATGGTAACACCAGACTCTTTTGTGGCCATTGTTCACGGACTAATGGTCCTCTAAGTAACCACAGGCTTCCCACTATTAATAGATTTAAATTTTCGACGAACATTTAATGACAGCCCCGTTTAAATGAATTTAACTAGTATTATGTACAACTGTGGCCGCCATCATGTTCTCTTTTACCTCCCTGAATTAATTTATTATTTCCACTTTCTTTCAACAGAGGCAGCAGCATGATGCATACAATTATATTTTTTTTTTGTTAGGTTTGCCAGTACTTGTATAAATCATACGTTAAAAAACCAAAACCTAAAATAGTAAATTTCATTTTTTTAAAACACTCACATACTAATTGATTACTCGGACATATCTTTTTTTTTTTCTTTTTCAAAACTCTACGAGTTAAAAATAATATACTCAATTGTCAATTGTTCAATTATGAATTAATTAAATGATATTCATTTAATATTTGTTATATATTAAGTATTATATTACGTTATATTAATTGTTAGATAAATTATGGACAAAAATGAAATAATATCGTTTGAATTTTCCCAGACCGGAAGTGTTTGATTTTTCATTTTGTATATAATTGTATATTTGATTAAGGTAGTAACTCGAACCGCGTTCCATTGCTATACAGTGAATTTACTTCCTTTCTAGTAGTTCTTTTGCAAGATAGTGCACGTGTCTAACAAGATGCAGAAGGTGAATACGTTATTTTAGGATATATTTATTTAATATTTATTTATTTTTCAATGAAAGTCATATAACGTGTACCTTTTTCTTTTTTTTTGTGTGTATAGAAACAAAAGGAACCAATTCATTCCGTCCAAGTTTTCGGCCGTAAGGTGAGCGCCATGATTTAATACAAGTTAACCCGCCATGATACACTCCTCCCTGTGTTATTAATTATTATTTATAAATAAATATTTTTTATATTAATAGAAAAGTGCAACTGCGGTTGCATATTGTAAACGTGGTCGCGGAATTCTTCGTGTCAATGGAAGACCATTGGAATTGGTTGAACCCCGTGTCTTACAATATAAATTGCAAGAACCCATTCTCCTCCTTGGAAAGGTAAAAAAGAAACAATAAAATAAAGTATATAAGTTTTTATTATTATATTTATATTCGTATTAATAATATACTAATATTATATGTTATGTGATGGACTAACTATAAATTAAAGTTAATTATAGATTAGAATTTTTCTAAATGTGTTAACTTTGTTCAATGATGTTCAATTATTCCGAATATGAACAACCATGATATATAGTTCAAGAATCCTGAGATTATTATTGAATAAACGTTCTATGTGAATTGTTTATATTATTGTATTAACAAATATTTTTAACACATATCGTAGGAGAAATTTGCTGGCGTTGACATCAGAGTTAGAGTAAACGGAGGTGGTCACGTAGCACAAATTTATGCCATACGTCAAGCTATTTCTAAAGCTCTTGTAGCTTATTATCAAAAATGTAAGTAACATTTAGTATATGCGCTTATTATTTAAATATAGTTTATTTTTATTCATTCTATTACAATAATATGTTAAAATATTGTATTGCATTTGTAGATGTTGATGAAGCAAGTAAAAAGGATATAAAAGATATCCTGATTCAATATGATCGTACTCTCCTGGTCGCAGATCCAAGGAGGTGCGAACCAAAAAAGTTTGGTGGTCCCGGAGCAAGAGCACGGTACCAAAAATCGTACCGTTAATATGTTTATCATATTATATAATATATATACCATCGAATAAAAAAAACGAAAATCTCCACACACAAATGTAATTATAAATGGACATGTAATTCTTTTATTTTTTCATACTTTTACTAAACTTGGACCAAACAAAAATAACAATTAGTTGTAGCATGGTTAAAAAAAAAAAACAATTAAAGATTATTCTTTTTTATAAAGACTTTTTATAAATAGTAATTAAAAATTAACTGTGTGGCATTGATTTTATCAATTCTAAACAAGTTAAAATCTTTTACAAAAAAAAAGTTAAAATAATGTCAAATGTTTACGATATCTTAGGAATGTTATGGCATGTATGCTACAACTAGTTTTAATTTTCACATTTTATATAGTTTATTAAAAATTTAAAGCATCGTTGTCTTTTTTTAATAAAGTTACACATAAATACTATTTTATACGAATTGTAGATAGCATTAAATAGAAACATAACTCGGTCGATAACCGCGACGCTAGCGAACCCTAACAGAAACAAAGCCGTACTAAATATAAATATGTCGGAAAAGTATTTGGCATATATATTACAATTAATTTTCTTCTATGTATAATATTTTAATTTTCTAATGTAAAATGTGTATGTGAAAATTGTAAAGAAAAATAAGTGTATGTACAAAAACAAATTATACATAATAAATAAATATTTGATAAAAATTGTAGGTAGTATGAATTTGACATATGGCTCGGTCGGTAACAATGATTAATAAACGATCTCAGCGATGCCTAACAGAAGGAAACCTGTACTAAAGATACTTATTCTTCAACAAGAGTTTGAATCTTGGTAGAATCGCATAGAAAAAGATACGAAACGAAGTAGTGGCACTGTCGTGAGAGACGGAGTTAGGGGGCTTGGAGTTGTTGGAAAGAAAACTGACGTGTCGCTCTCATTGGAGCTAATTGATCGGTTAATTAAGAGCTGGTAGAAAAGAAAACTGACCGACTATGCGGCCATTGTAAATTTTTCAATGCTCTAATCTTTTTAAATAAGGTAAGTTAAAAAATAAAGAATAAATAAAAGTCTATTGCGTAAATTTATTTATAGATATTCGAGCTTTATAGCATTGTATATAAATGTTGAAATAGTTCGAATAGGAAGAAGTCAAGTCGCTGTTACAGAGGAACGTCATAACAAAAGATAAATACAACTTTTATCTTACACATTTTTATTTATTTTTTTTATATTTTATTTTAAATTAAAGTTCTAAATGTGTAATGCATCGTTGAATTATCTAAAGATAATATTTAAAGTATTGCGTGTTGTTTTTTTATCGATCGTAGAAACGGATGAAAGGTCAAGTTATTTAGAATGTATCTTTACCATCTCAAAGTATGTAAAATTTCATTCATAAGTTACAATTCTATTGTCTTCTTTAACTCCAAGCTTTGTATCATTTAAAATCAGTTAAAATTGTTTATACTCGTTTACTTAAGATAATAATTTACTTATTCGTAAATTGTAATTAATAATATTCATTTTGTAGATTACAGCGATGTCAAAGAAAAGCGGTAGTAAAATGTTGGTACATCAATTATCTACCGTTCTGCCAGACGATAGACCCATCACTGCCATTAATATTATTGAGGACATAGACAAATGTCCACCAAATTTTACAGTAGTAAGTTAACAAATTAAATATCTTTTAAATTTAATATTATTTTTATAATTAATATTATATTTTATTTCTACGTTGTGTGTTGTTTGCAAAGGTTTCTAGAACATACGATCAAGACACCGATGCAGATTTATGGAGAGAGACCGGATTGTTTATCAAAAAGAAAGGTAGATATATATGTTTTTCCAAGACGGAAGGTTTACCTCATTGCATAGTGGAAGATATCACAATTATCAATGAACGAGAAATGCCGCCAGAAGGATACAGTATTATCTCCCATACCGTAGATTCCAGTGAGCATATTTTTCTAATACGTTGAAATGAAACATTGTATGTATTTATAAAAAAAACAAAAAAGAAAAAGAAAACAAAGAGTGATAATATAATGTAATACTAAATTTTGCAGTGCAGAAGGCATGGAGGAAGAAACAATTGTGTTATAAAATTAAAAACAAGGATTTGTGTTCTAAAGCTGTGACGGATATAATTATATGTAGTAGAATTGTACATAAAGCGTCTAAAATGGCACCCAACGGTTTTGCTGCAGCCGGGTATGTTATTTATACATTTTGTTATTTATCCAAGTCCTTGCACACGCGTCGTTTTATTATAAGATTATTAACATTACTATCTTTTAATAAAACAGCGTTATAAATGGAGTATGCGTTTGTTACAAAACTGTGGATATAACGAACGGACAACCAAATTCTCAATCGTATATTAACATAGAGTAAGTGAAAATAAGTTTAATAAATATTAAACAGTTTAATATTTATATTAATTTTTGATATCTTTATTTCAGTAAACTATTAATGCAAAATGCTTCTCCAAATCCTTCCAATGGAACGCCTCATCGAGCACCACCTGAGAGGCCACCCAAACCCAAGTTTTCTCCCAAACCAAATAATGGTATTTATTCTCAAATTGGAGCAGCTCTCGTTGGAAAGGATACAGACGAATCCAATGATAGGGATTACGAAGTTTTAAGTCCTAGTGCGAGATTGAGGCCTACGAGACCAGCTCCTCAACCTCCCACCACTTCAGTCATCGGTTCCACTCCAATTTATGGTACACTGCCAGGTTCTTCTGATTTAGATGGAGTCCCATTCGTTCTCAATCCTCGTCTTAACATTCATTCTGATTCTGCCATAGTAAGTATCAAATTATTTTTAATATGTTAAACGCCATGCTATGACTTTCGGTCTAGGTCACGTCGATTATTATATTTTTTCACGACATTATTATATATATTTTTCTACTATTATATTTTTCTAACAGATGGTCGTGACCTAATCAGAAAGCTCAACTAAAGAGGCTTGGTGATTAACACGTTAATATTTTTATTTTTCAAAAGTTATATCTAATCGATTAAATTGTATCTTATCTTTTTAGTATAAATTTCCTACAATCAAAATGTGGACGCAAAAAGATTTGGACAAAGAGGTATATATGTAAATATATTATTTCTGTATTAAACAAATTTGGTTTAAAAATAAAGTTAATAATTGAAATAATTGATTTCAGTTTTGCTACGATTTTCGTGCAGAAAGAGAAACTTGAAAATACCAATGTGCCAAATTATTTGTATGATAAAGTCATACATTTTTTTGTTGTCTATTCATCCGTACTGACTATATAGTACTAGCCGAGTGTAATAGAGTGCCTGAATGAGTGATTTATATTAATTTCCAACCAAGGAATATCAGTTTATGCATTCTCTATGGTAAGATGTATGAATTAACATACATTTCTCTCAAATACATCCATCTTCTTCTTCCAATGACCCATATTTAGATTTTGATACCAGTGACAATTAGTGTTGTATTTTTATAGAATTGCGTTGTATTTTTATAGATATTAGAAAGTATGTATATATATGGATATATATAGATATATATATATATACATATATATATATATAAATATATAATTGTATCATACGTTTTAATTGTTTAAAGAAGTATTATTATAGAATATTTAACGTTGTATTCGGTATATTCCTATGTCATAATCAAATGTGAACAAATTCAATAAAGCCATTTTTAATTTTACAGACAACGTTATAGTTATAGCTTCTCAGCGACGCGTGTTCCTGACGATAAGAAAATCTTTAAAGAGAACGAGAGACAAATATATATATATATATATATAATTAAATAATATATTCGACTGGTTATGCAATTACCAGCCAAAATTAAATTAATAATCATGTATTATATAATGTTATCACAAATTCGTGATATTTATCTAGCTGTCGAATCAATGAAACATAAGATAATAATTATAATTAATTACAATTTAATTCTTTTTATTCAGGGTTCAATATTCAAAAAACAAGATCGAAGATATATAATTCCATCATCCTGCAGATAATATTTTTTCATCGACATCGACAAGAAAATATATACACTATAGATAGAAACCGATGAATTATTTGTATTATACAAAATCTATAGGAATGAATATATTATTCCACAACTTTTTGCAAGTAATCATCCATGACAATAGGAAATAGATGTATTTTGTATGCGCGTGTAAAAAACAATTTCACGGTAATAATGTGTTAAATTAAAAAAAAAACAAAAAAAAAAAAAGAGAGCAAAATTAACGCGCATGCGCAGAAATTGTATTCGGATATTCGAGAATTGGCGCCGAACCGCCATAACTACGCAGTTCGTCGAGAGGTGCGGTATCTCTTCCGAAGAAGTCGATGTCTTTCTACGAATGATAAGTAATTATTTCGTTATTATTTAAAAATCCTTTTTTTTTTTTTCAATATCAAATTTTAATTTTAAATCGAACGAATTTATTTCATAATAATTAAAATAAATCAATAAATATTTCTATTGATATATATATGTGTAATTAAGCGAATTTATTTATTATCATACTCTTTTTGTTTTTTTTTTTTGTTTTCTTTTGCAACGGTAACATTTAAAATATATAGAAAAAAAAAAAAAGAAAAGAAGAAGAATTACGCGCACGATTCCGATCACGTGGATAATTCTTTTTAAATGTGTTTTTATTTTTTTTTTTGTATGATTATTTATACAAAGTATTTGAAACCTATAATTAATGAACGATTTTTGTGGCAAAGAAATTCAAGGCGATACGATAAATCTGTAAGTTAAGTAATAAGGAAGAATTCTCATGAAAAGAGAGAGTATGATTGGTCTTGAATAATAAAATAGCAACTTCCGCGTCGTTAAGCAGAGCGCGACCTCGTGTCATTATAATATTAAACGTGTGTAAATATAAAGAATATAAAGAAAAAAAAAGAAAAGAAAAAAGAAGGCAGGTGTCTCAATGAAAGCATGCATACATACATATGATTTGCATATAAATGAATACGATTTTGTCATGCGAAAAGTAAAAATAAAATAAAATAAAATGCAAACGTTCAGGTGGAAATAGGTGAGTGGCAGTTGAGGAGGGGCTGGGTGGGGGAGGTAAGGAGGAGGATGGATGCATAAAAAAAAAGAAAGAAAAATCTTATCGCCTCGACAAAGAGATCGCTAAACTCGTTAAATTGAAGGTCAAGGAAAAGTATACAAATTGTTTTGCTCTTTCTATCTTATATTTAGGACACGACTCGAGGAAGGAGAAGGAGCATCGTCTTCGTCGTCGTCGTCGTTAGGAAAGATCGATAGATCGAAGAAGAAGAAGAATAAGAAGGATGACTGAAGGAACGATGACTGAATTCGAAGAGAACGTGTCCTTCGATGCCGACGACCCGGACTTTGCTCCAAAGGTTGCTGCCCATCATATTGTCGTAGCACAGACCGTCCTTCGTAACGTGCACTTTACCGACATTACCTTCGGAGTCGACAAACGTGAGTACAATACATTCCCTTTACGTTTATCATTTATGAATATATATTACTGCGTCGAAACTTTCTAAATGGTTTCCTTGAAATTTCTTAACATCCCGAACACGATTCAACCTTGTCGATCACATTGTGCGTTACATTTTCTTCATAAAATAATATATCAATTTTGTTTACTTCCTATTTTTCTTTCTCCGTGGTAACGTGGAATTCTACCTTACCGATCGATATTTTTATTCTTCTTCTTCTTTTCTTTTTTTTTTTTTAAATAATATTTTCCCCGTGGGTCAATGGGGATTAGAATATACTCACAGTATTCTCGGTTTAGCGTAAAAAGCGTATTTTAGGGGACGTTGAGTATTGATCTGATAATACAAAATCTCGTAAAAATTCACTCTTTAAGGGATAAGAAAAAAATAGACAGGAACGACGTTAATCGGTTAAGAAGACTTTACGCGTGAGATCACCATAAAGTGTTAAATATTTAAAAAAAAAGAAGAAAATCCTTTCGTCAGCATTTTTCTAAGTAAGAACTCGATACTAATAAGAGAATAAAGGCGAGATATGAGCTGACTCGAATAACATGTAAATACGTATTACAGTCTATAATTTTCTTAATGATATATTTTTAGATGAAAGACAACTCATCAGACCTATCGAATTGCCGATTTGTTAACTGATATTTTATCGAGGGACTTTCATATCTCGTTACGTTGGATCAACGATTATTTAGATTGAAATTGTATAACTTATGTTATATATTTATCGACGGGTAATTGATAATATTGGATATCTTCTTTATCGACGATATAGTTTCAATACTCGACGCTAGATGGTATTACGTGCATCGTTCGATCGATCATTCAAAAGTTTATTAACCCTACAATTTCTATTAATAACGTAATTTGAAGTATTGAAATATAGATGACGATATCTTTGAACTATATTCTCATAGAAAAAAAAATATAATAATTGAGTTATTAGTTTGGATAAAAAAGAAAAAAGAAAGTATTTTATAAGATATGGAATATTTTTCATCATTCATTTGATGTCATCATCGGTAAGAGATAAGAAACCAAAAGAGAATAAACGTAATTTTCCGTTGATACAGGTCGGAAAGTTTATCGAGGACCCCCCACATACGTGCATTGCTAAAGTATTATGATCTTTTAACTTGTTCTATGGCTTATGTCATTTATTTTATAATAAAGATTCACGAGACAATAACATCATTTTATTCTTTTTTTTTTCTTTCTTTCTTTTTAATTATTTTTTTCCTCCAATCGGGAAAATAATTAATTTAATCATTTGGACGAGCCTCCCATTTTCCTCTTCTGTTTTCTTCAAGATTAAACGTATATTAAGGTGCATTTGGCAGTAATATATCAATCTTTTATCTTGTCATCGAATAATTCAAAAGTAACGCGTTAAGTTTACATATGATAACTGCATTACCGACGGAGAAAAAAAGAAAGAAAGAAAAAGAGCGAGAGAGAGAGAGAGAAAAAAAGAAATATGTATTTCTTTGTCATTTATTTTGATTTGTAAGCTAATTTTAAATTTAACATAAGACAATTCGTTTAGCGGTCATCCAAGGAAACCCAAGTTCTATTTCGATCTGATCGTCGTTGTCGTTGTCGTCATTGTCCTCGTCGTTGTCGTCGTCGTCGTCTACAAGTCTACTACATTGCAATATTCTAGAGACGTACGTGCACACATAAAAAGGGGAACAGGCAATTTCCTTAAACGAAGGAAATGAACGATAGCCTAACCTTCTCGTCATCAGGGGTCACAACCTGAATGGAACTTTACGAGCTTTGAAACATGCGATCATACGGTCGACACGTGCAAGCTCTTTGACCTCTTCACACATGATCGATTTCGTTCATAATTATCGTTCTTCAATTCACAAACACATGTGTGAATCTTTATAAAGACCATTTGGTATCGAATTAAACAACAAAATTATTTAATTATCACGCTCACCGATATCGTTTAGGAAAAAAAGAAAAACCCACGAGTTATTAAGGAAAAAAAAAGAAAGAAAGAAAAAATATTATTTAATATGAACTTTAACCTATCGGTTTCCTTATTCGAATTTTTTACCTTTTACGATAGATAATTAAAGTAGGCGGTAAAGAACAGAGAGAGAGAGAGAGAGAGAGAGAGGAAAAAAAATAGAAGCATTTATCGTTTAAAGGGATCGTAGTCGGTGGACTTTGATAAAATTATTAATAAATTTTCAATCAGACGAGAGAGAAAAAGAATGTATAGTCTCTTCTCTTTTCATTGGTCAAAGTTCTTCCACTCGTTGTTACGAGTTAGTTTAAAGAATCTTTTTAAAGGTCAAACTCCAGTATCTAAATGAGAATAATTATAGGTTAGGAACGTTAACGATCGATAATCGAATCCTTTCTATTACCGTGTGATTTGATTGGTTGAGAGAGAGAGAGAGAGAGAGAGATTTTGATTTAAAATATAATTCGCTCATTTGTCATTCGTGGATGCAAATCATTGGTGATATTTGTAAACAAATGAGAAAAGTCCAATGACACTAGGGAAGTCACGTGATAATAATGTGTCTCTATCTTCATCTCTGTCTGTCTGTCTGTCTGTCTATCCGTCCGTATGTTTCAGTCTATCTTTTTTCCCACTTTAGTTTATACTCAGCCGAGTTCTGTTATCGGTCCTCATTAGTCCAATAAACTTTAATCAAGTTGCCTCGGTTGCGAGAAGAGGAAAAAGGTTCGTTCTCAAGGTCTCGGCTTATTGGCTCTCTGTTGGCTGATCGTACGACGACTTTGCTAACTGCGCGACAAAAATATTCTGATGTAACACAACATCCACACATCATACACACATGACTTTGCTCGAAGGATGTTTCTTATATGATTATATATGTATATATATATATATCTATCTATCCAATCCATGGAAATAATCATTTTTTTGCGCGTATTTTTATTTCGTCGTTCGCGTTAATTTTTAGTTTGTCTTCATATTAAACAATTAACATGGCCTTCCTTCTTATCTCGAAAACTTCCATTTTTGTGAAATCTACGAGGATAAAATATCGATTTGGGAAGGGGTGGGGTGGGGTGGGGGGTCTCTAATGACTGGATCAATTAGATCATAATCTATATAGGGAAGAGATTATTAAAATAGATAAAATTGTTCTTGAAATCGTTTATATTTATATGTATGTATGTATGTATGTACGTGTATAATACGTTAATCAATTGTCTAATTATTTCAAGCATATTAGAAGAATAATTTTCCTACTATTTTTTCCTATTTTTCTTTTTTATACATTTTTATTACTCATTAATGTTAATCGTGTCGTAAAAATTTTTTGTACTTTGTACAATATTATTTAATTTTTTTACGAGAGAGTATATACACGCGTCCATAGGATGTGCGCGTTAAATTATCATAAATTATTATAGTTCGAGGAAAATTCGTTGAGAAAATAAAAGAAGAAAAGAAAAGAAAAGAAAATGGACATCTCGTTTTTTTTTTTTTTTTTTTAATAACAATCGAACGAAATAAGTTTGACTTTGTACTTATTGTTAAACTTATGTGTTAGAGATATTTCATTTCCTTTTATTTTATTTTTTTTCCTTTATTTGTCTACGATGGAAATTTTAACATTTAAAATTTAACGATGGAAAAATACTTTTTCTCCCCCCGTTTCTCTTTATAACGAGTAAATAATAATAATAATAAAAAAAAAGAAGAAAAAAGGAGAAGTATAACTTGTGAAAAAGAAAGGGGACCAAAAGTAATATAAAAAAAATGAAAAAATGAAGAAAGAAAATAGCCTTGGAGAAAAGCCGATTGTAAAGGTTCTTGCCCGAGCCTTGGAATGTTGCTTGGCAAGGATCGTTCATAGGAAGAAAGAAAGAAAGGAAAGGAAAGAAAAGGAAGGGGTTGAGATTGGCAACAACAAAAAAACACCATCATCCCTTCTTTCCACTTGGAATTCTCTTCTTTTAATCTTGTCCCCCTTGAAATACAAGATTGAACACACATTTATGTTGTTTAAATATTAACGATTATTATTTCTAACGATTCGATACGAATTAAAATAACATTAACGAATGTTTGTTTTTTCTATGGTTTTTCCAAGCTGATTAAAGACTCAACTTTATCGTTAAAAAGATATCCCAACAGATATCACATATCTTTTTTACCTTAACACATTTATCTTTAATATTATATATATATATATATATATAAATACAGATACGTGTGAATTAAAACCTGTAGGATATAATGTATGCGTTCATTTATACTCTGATAGATACGTAGGTGTATTTTACGTAGGTTAAGTATAGGGAAGTACGTACCTAACCTAAAAATGATAACACGGAACAAGAAAGAAAGAGAGAGAGAGAAAGATATATATATATATATATGTATAGAAAGAATAAAAGAGAGAAAGGGAAGTCCTGTTACTTATTGAAAGATTTTTATCATTTCGATTCTTTCAAAGATCGTTTCTTTCTTCAATCGATTAACATCGCAAACTCGATTCGATTCTTTTTGAAAGGAGAGACCAGTTTAAACTGGTTTCGTTTAAAAAGACCGCCTCGAGAGAGAGAGAGAGAGAGAGAGAGAGAGAGAGAGAGAGAGTAGAGAAATAGCTAAAGCTAAATAACTGTGTTGGTTAGATGAGGTTTGTTGTGTTGGGTTTTGATCAAAATCATCCATGTTGATTTTCAAACAATACATTTTTCCAAACCCGTTAAGGGAGGGGTTACATGGGTTACACCAGGAAAAAATAACATATTTTTAACAATTTTGTTGTTCTATATCAAAAATGGAATTCTTATTCAAACTTTTGATAGTATTTAAGATACATATTTAATGAACATTTTCTGAATTTTTGGTTACAAAATATTTTCAACTCAGCCATTGCGACGTCATTTCCGGTGACCCCACCGAAAAAAAAGTGTTTTCCCGTTGACAGCAGAACTTATAAACGGTGGGGATTTTTCTGTTGA